CACATAATTCATCAGAGTTTTATATATATATATATATATATATATATATAAAAGGGGCCAGTTCCTTTGCCCCCCTCTCTGTGATGCAAAGTGATAATCAAATTCGAGGTAATAGGTCGACGTCGAGACAAGAGAGATAAGAAATCGAGGGGAGAAGGGAGAAAAACTTTGCGAAATAGAGATTGATGGAAAGCACTCTCGAGACGAGTGGGATAATCGGTCATGCAACTTTCCACTTGGCGAGTTTTTTAAAGGGTACGGTCGTGACTCGAGGGTAACATTGCGTGGATATTATTCTTAAAGTGATGATATTATGAATTTTTCCTGATTCCTCCTATTAATTATTATATTGTAAGGGTAAAGCGTTTTATATGTAGCTTAATTTCCTTGGAAAATCGCGGCTCAAGACGTTATCGGTTAAAGTCGCAACGCGTAATTATTCGGGACGGCCATCTCCCCCGCGAAAATGTTAAATTTCCTCCTAAAATTTATCCTTTATACGCGAGTTGATACTCGGCGAATTCATAACATTCAGCGTCGTGAATTAAGAAGGGGAGGGGCGAAAATGGGCGGACGCCGCCAATTAGGCCTGCGAAAATCCTTCCAACACGCGCTCTCCTCCCAAACGCGCGCCTTCGAGTATTCCCACCGGATGATCTAATTGGATGTTGCGAAGGAAAAATTGCAAATCCTCCAGAATTTTTTGTCCTCGCCTTATCCCTTCCTTTATATCCGTATATATACAATTTAACGATCCTTTGCGCTCCTGATCACTCGAGTTAGTGCCGTAACTCCGGCCGTATCTCACTTGGATCGGTGCGACAATATTTATTTATGTTTGATTTTTTTAGAATATTCATAAATAAGCTCTTTAGATATAATCTTACGAGGTGTAGAATAATATATCGTTAAATGGATTTTTCATCTCAAATTAGACCATGATCACGACACCTTCAGTCGGTAATAGAAATATTATTTTCAAAGTTTTCGAGATTTGTAAGCGTGGAATACGGCAATGAAATCCGTTCGAGCGAAGAGGAGTTTGATTTTTCGTTATTAAACGACAAAATTACGTAAAGAAATAGTATAGATAGTGAATAGATAGAATAGATAGTGAATAGTTCAAAATTAGATTTTTTAAACTATTTTTTACTGACGAACTTATTAATGCGGAAGAAGAAAATACATCACCTCGAATCGACGATATCCATATTCTCGATTGAGTTCGTCGTCTCCTTTCCTATTCCAGTTCGAAAAGAAGCGATAGCGATTGGAATACGAGATACACGCCTCGTTGAACGATGATACATGCGCGCGAATCGGGCCGATTTGGCGGGGAATGGCACGGTTGGTCACTCCTCTCGGACCTGCCAGCCTGGACTATAATTCTGCGTTATCGCCGAGTTCACGGACCAACGCATTTGGCCCGGGGAAGAGTAACTGATTCCACTTTACCAACAGAGTACAGAGACCTTTGCTCACTTGGCGCGAAAATGGCGCGCTTTCCTCTTCCCTCCCAGTTTCTTCCATCTCCTCGATACATACGTCGTCGATCTCGTATATCGCACGACGCCTGTATCTTCAGGGGTTAGAAATGATTAATAAGCCTCGTTATCGGCCTCGTCAGCTGGATCCCATCGATTCGACCTCAACTCCCTTCCGTTCGAGGAATCGAACAGTGGCATTCAACCGAGCGTGTCCGGCTCGGCGAATTCGGTGACGACGAGGCGACGACGATGACCCTGTATCGGCGATGTATCGTCCAGGTTCACGCGCGATTGCCCTGGAGGGGCAATGGCGAGTGATAAATCGGTGATTAAGATGAGCCATCCGCCGTGAACGCGTCCTCGACCGAGGCGAGCCGAGCCTGTCCGATCCTGCCCGATCTATCGATCGATCGTTTCGAACCCTTTTCCTCCTCCTATCAATCCTGTCGTTTTCCACCTATCCCCAACGTATCCTTTCGTATTCGAAAGGGTGGAAATGGAAATGGAAATGGAAATGGCGCGAAGAAATCGAGAGATCGATAGATTTAATTAATATTAAATAATTTGGCCTATATACCTGGTTCACCTGGTGGACTCAAAGTGGATGTATGGATTTGGAGAGTTTGCGAACGTTTGGAGAGAAATGGTAAAGTTTCGTGCACGTATCAAACGAGGGACGAAATAGTTTCGAATAGTTTCGACCAAGATAGGAAAGGAGTTGTGCACCATTTTGCTTCTTCTTCTCCTTGGCCAGATAGATAGATTAATATCGTACGAAATCGCGGATAGTGACTCCTTCCTTTTCCTCTGCTCGCAGAGAGGGAGGGTGGATTGATCAATGGAGCGAGACACGAATGGAGATTGGAAAGAAAATTCGAGTAAAAAGCGGTAAAGAAGAGTTCTCGTTTCGAGAATTGCCATTCCTCGCGCGATATACGATAAATCGAGGAAATGGGTGAATTTATAGTAATAGGGGTGGACGAAGAAGCGAAAGTATAATTTACGAACGAGGGAATTCCGTTTGTTTTGCGCGCCCCCCCCTCCCCCTGGAAATATCCTTTCTTTGTCTCTTCGCGCGAATAATTAATTTCCACGATTTTATTACTCGTGAAAAATACGAAAGGTCAAAATGGGATGGAAAAATAGAATTTAGAAGCGTCTAGTTCCTCTTCGAACATCGAATATATATATATATGCGAGGAACGGGATTAATTTCTAGGGTGAATTGATGCGAGGGGAGAGGCGAGGATATAATTTTTAACGAAAAGCTGGAAAAACTGAGATGGAGTTTACAATTACGAACGCGCGTCGCGCCGCTTCTTGGTCGAGTGAAAGTCAAAGGGGGTGTTGCATCGCGTCCCGTGGATGGAGGGTAGGATGTGTAGGGGCGATGCGAAGGCGAGATTGAGTCGCTTCGTCGTTGGGTGAATGAAAAGGAACGGGCAAAGAGAAGGTAGAAGCGATCTCGAAACTGAAGAGGAAACCGGTCGATGCTTGACGACTGCTGCAATTTCATCGATGCCTCCACGGGCGGGGAGTCGCCAAATTTGCCGCCAATTCCAATTAACCAGTCACGGTTTCCTCTCCAATCATCCTACTGGATCGTGCTTCGCCCCATTCTTTTCCCCTAACGAAACCAACTAATCCCTCTTCCACGGATAAAGGGATTGCCTCAAAGCTTTTTGTTTCCCCTGTAAGAAAAAAGAAGAAAATAATGTGTATGTATGATAAATTATATACAAAAGAAATGCGCGCAACGTGTTTTTAAAATATTCTTTTTAAAGTATACTCGAAATCAACGCTGGTAAGATTGTAAGGAAATTTTATATATTTTGTATGCTACGTTTTCTTAAGTATGATATGAGTGTAACAGAGAATCTTTTATAAATATTCGTTCGTGATTTTAACGTAACGGGGGAATATAATGGAGAAAAACGTAGCGTACAAGATTTTTCGAGATACTGCAACTGTAAATAAATTTTTCGATCGAATTATTATTACTTTGTATTGGAGGAATATAATTGGAGGAGAGAAAATAATAATGTTTAATAATTTTTTTCTTTTAACTACGAAATTTTATATATAATTATTCGTTTTATATAGTTATTTTTCTAAATTAATTCATAAATGAAAATATAAAAGTTACATACAATAGTTATAAAATAGAAAATAGAAATATAAATATGGATATATATAAGCGCATTTTGTCGATAAATTAGACAACGATCGAAAAATTTTGATCAACGCCATCTCGCGTTTGGATCAACGAAGCTTCGACTTGTTATTAATATAGCAGGATATGCAAGGAGGTATTCGTGACGTCACAGAGAAGGAGAGCAACATTGTGCGAGCAGTATGGAGAAAAAATGTCGCTAAAACCCCCACCATTTCGAAGATACTACGTTGAAAAATAATTAATAACTAATTTTTTATCAAAAACTTTTGCACTTTTAAAATTGCATTTCAAAGCTGGAACTTCAAACGAGTTTCTGATGTAAATTTTAATGAGAAATTGTTTTCGATTTATTATTAATTAACGATTATTGTGTCATATACACAGACTGATGTAATCGATGTGCAATATATTTTTCATATTAATTTCACATCATTATAAAATTTATTTCTAAATTTATGTATCTGAAACATTGTTTCCTCTATATTACGTATATTTTTTATCCATAATTATATTGTTATTTACATAAATAAATCGATTATTTAGTACTCGATAGATCGAGGATATACTTTATAATAATCATTAATAAATAATTAATAAACTAGAATTTTTTTCGTTAAAATTTATACGAGAAAAATGTTCGAGGTTCTAACTTTGAGATGCGAGCTTAAAAATGTAGAAATTTTTACCAATTAATTATTTATTAACAATTATTATGGAATATGCCAATTGCGTATTTTATATTTCTATAATTAAACAGTAAATAATTAAATTATTTCGCTTAAACAACAACAAACTTATAAATAAAAATAGTACGTGAAAATAAAAAAAGAACTAACGTTTTAAATGGATATATTTTTATTTAGAAATAAATCTAATAATAATATGAAATTAATGAAAAATGTATTGGACGTCGGTTGTGTCAATCCGCATACGGCACAAATACACTTAATAAATAATTAATTAAAAAGAATTTATCGTTAAAATTTATACGTGAAAGTTGTCTGAGGTTTCAACTTTAAGACGTGAGTTTAAAAGTGTAGAAATTATTAATAGGAAATTAATAATTAATAAATTTTCAATATAACGTTCTCGGTTATTAGAAAGTATCAGGAACCGCATAACCAAAAATAGTGGCACATATTTTCCGTCCTTCTCGCACAATTACCCTCCTTCTCTGTGACGTCACGAATACCTCCTTGCATATTATGTTATATTAATAACAAGTCGGAACTTCGGTGATCCAAACGCGAGATGGCGTTGATCGAAAATTTTCAATCGTCACTCTAACTTATCGACAAAATAAATTTCATTGACAGTTTATATAGACTAACGAAAGGTTGAAATTCTATAATGTCTAGAAATATTTGTTTAAAAAACATCTAATTAATTAAATCTATCAAAGTAATTAAAGCAATCGTAAGTAAAAGAATCTATATGCAAATATTATAAAGCGAGAAATTACAAGTATTGAAAAAAAAAAAAAGAAATTTCTCGAAGAAAAAGAAAAAAAGAAGATAAAAAATATGGTAATAATAATATTTATTGCAATGTAAAAAATAAATATGTACATGTATATATATTGTTATATTTCTACATTTTATTAAATACATATGAGTATATATTTTTATAATGTGCGTGTTATAGATGGATACTCGTGTATATACTAAAAATTATATAGGTTAAAATTCGATTTTATTTCTATTACGTGTGCACATTCACATACATAAAATGGAGACGTTTAATAATTTAATATTAAAATGTATTTACTTCTGCAACCTGTATTTGGAAAAAGGTAAGTATTTTACATCGCACAAATTTCTATTTTTAGAAAAAAGAACTAAACTTTTTATTCAAAGTTTTAGGTTAACTCAATACTTTGGGTTCCTTTGTTCTCGTAGAAAGTTCGAAATGTACCGGTAGTCCGGCTCGTTCGAATCGAACGATCTACAAGATCTCGCGAAGCAGTCTCCGATCTCTCGTTTTCTTTATCTTTCGAATACCTGAAAACGAACGAACGCGATGCTCCTTTCCGCGAAACGTGGAATGAGATGAGACGGTCGACGAGGAACGTGACGTTTCAGTCTCCTTGAGAATTTTAATTTCATTTCTTATCCGTGCGAGTAAAGAAAAGAGATCCCAAGAACGAGAGGAAGAAGGAGATTTAGATGGAGAGTCAACTGCGCCCGTTTGTCTCGACGTGACGAGAATGGATTTTCACGGACGACACTGAGCAAAGATGATTACACCCCTGCAAAGGGTGTCGGACAATCCGACGTTTTCTCACGCATCTCTCTCCTTCGTTCGCCTATGGATTTCCATTTTTGTGAGCCATCTGCTAGATGCGACTTTGGTCATCGATTTTTTTTAATTTTTTTCAAAAATTATTCTTTCAAAAATTATTCTTGTTTTTTCATCGAATTTTTTAAATTCTAGGTAAAATTGTCGTCAAGTAAATTAAATAGCATTCGATGATTGATCGATTATTTTCCAATGATATCCAAGAAGATGAAAATGATAAAATAAACGAAGAGCAGACAACTCGACGAAAAAATGTACATATAATCCTCGGACTATGCCAAGTGCCATAAAATAACTATACATGATCTCTTGATTTCAAAGGAACTTTTTATCGTTACGGAATATACTGCCAAGAACAAAGAGCGATCATCTATTTATAATACTCTTTATAATACTCTCTCCTTCTTCTTTTATTTCGATATAAATGCATTATTTTATTTCGCAATAATTCAAGATCTTTCGCCGTTTCTATCTCCAAAAATCAAATGGCTTACCAACAAGCTATTGTTATTTGTACTATCGATATTATAAACCATTTAATTTAACCAACAATTTAACCAACTTGATGAACAAAAGTTTAAAATTTCATCGAAATATTGTTAGAAATTTTACAAGACAAACTATAATCCGATGAATTACGATGAACGCATAATTGCATAATTAAATCACGCTTCGGTATTTCACAATAAAATACCTTTTTAAAATGTATAGCAACACAGTAACTTTCTTCGACCGGAATTCTCACGGGAATAGAAGATTGGAAAGGAAAAAAAAATCTTGGAACGATCGAAAATATTCCAAGGCAAGTTATTCGTAAGTTTTTACCATTAAATAAGAAGGAAATATGCAAAATTAATTGGTGACTAATTAATAGAGACTATAGAGGAGGAACGTCGAACGAGGTAACAAAGAAGATAAAGATGAGTGGTTTCGAAAGAGAGAGAACAAGCAGTGCAGGTGAATGAAACGAGAGTAATGCAACCAATTAGTATGAATTAGCATCAAGCCGCCGGAAACGAAGGTGGGGGGTGAAAAGATGAAGGGGGCAAGTTGTATTCTCTCATCCCTTCGCTTTCGTCGGTAAAATAATTACCGAGCGTCTCTTCGCCCTTGCCCCATGCCACCACCTCCGCCACTGCCTGCACTACCACATTACCATCCATCGTGTTCCGTGCTTCCCCCCTCTCCTCCGTGATCACGCTACTCTTTCCCCGGTTAAATGATTTCCGTGAACTTTCTGTCGGTGGTACGTAGCAACCTCGACGTTGCTCTCGCTACCAGTCTATCGTCGCTACTCGAGAAGCTAAAGTAATCCTGACGAACGGTTCGAGCAACGAACGTTCCCGTATTCTAGACACGAAGACCGAAGGAACACAGCAACCTCTTCAAGTTTCCTCCGAAACGGCTAATTTGTTTCCATCCCCGTACAGAACAATGTACGGATAATCCTTACTGGGCGAGTAATCGCGAAGAAATGATAAGTAATGAGCAAATTTGTTTCGGCTGAGTTGTGCATTTGCTCGCGATTGATCGCCGCCATTTATCAATTCCCAACTCGCTTCTTCCCCTTCGGCATATAATTCGCTCGAGCTCCCCTCGAAGAAGAAAAAACGAAACTAACAGTTTTATGAAGCGTGTCGATCTATCTAATACCGTCAAACGGTAATACGAAGGGAAACATTGAATTTCCAAGCGGTTTGGTCGCAACTGTTAACGCAATTACGAACGAATCGCGTCAAAGCGCGACTGTTTATCAGCATGGACGTGAGAAATTGAGAAAAGCAGGTGCAAAGGGAAACCAGGAATGCTCTGCTCTCAACTGGAATCTTGGTGAAGCGAGGTAATTTGTTTCCTTGGAAGAAGGAGCGATGTACCGCTAATCCATTCTACAACGGGTAAAATTATTGAGTTTAATAAATATGGCTCGCTTTGTTTCTCAATCCTATAAAGAAAATACTAATATCACTATATATATTCGATGATTCTCAAGAAACGATTATCGTGCTTTCCAATTAAACTGATTCCACCGTAAGGAATGTAAAAACAACATATAGGATAAGATTTTAAATACAAATAGTCTTGTAATATATATGTATAATTTTAGTAGATATAAAAATAATTTAAAGACAAAATTTTTCATTTACTTTTTCTTTATTAAAAGTTTCAATATATTTACAAAACATGTTTCTCGCATGGCATAAATAAAGTGATAAAATTATTCAATTCGGTGATTCTCCGTACGTTTTGAATAATCAGTTGTACAGGTTATGTTTATACAATATCGCAGATTGTACATCGATGGATGAAACGAACGGCGGATGGATATTTTAACAAAAATATTGCGGAGTAATTTGGAACGACGCGGGGTGCTGATTGAACACACCTATTTGTTCACGTACCTTGGACTGGTTATTAACCGCAACCCACTGATATGCTATCGTTGCAAATTAAACCGATCGGCTCTGCTATCTCGAAAAACCGTTATTAAACCATCGAGTCACGATAGTTTGCGCAAAGCCAATTATGGACTCATCGCAATCGTTTTCATTCCCTTCCCCCGCGAATAACGAGAACATTTTAAACAGTGCAAAACTGATCCCGTATCTTTTTCCCCATCCCCTCCCTACTACTTCGCATGTAATTTCAACTGAATCGTAATCACATCCGAAACACGATGCCCCATTCAACGTATCGCATGAATTGTACCGAGCTAATCGCATTGCTTCACAAAACGATTCAACTCGCTAGACGATTCGAAAAATCTTATGGATAGAGACGATAGAATAATAGGAGGACTCGTTTACGACAGCTTGTAAAGCATGACGAATGTTACCAGTTGAGGACCTCGTATATTTCGGTCACCGGCTCGTGAATTTATGGACTGGGCCGTGGTGTCCAGTCGTCGTACCATCTTCTCCAATGTGCAAACGTGATATGATAAGGCAAATCAAGAAGTCCAATTAAGGGAGATTCGAATAATTTTATTAGGTAGGCAATGTTTGATTCGTTTCTTATTCGTATTTTGTATTTTCATAAAAAAAATTCTTCTATTATTTCGGAAGAATAAGGTTGATAAAGTTGATTATTTTCTATCATTTCTTCCCGTTGCATTCGATATAAATACCTTGTCGATCAGCCGGATTATTACTGCAATTAAGAAATTATATTGAAAAATAAAATATTAAAACGAGTAAAAATATATTGTACCTGTATTGTTTATTATCTTCGTGCCCAAAATTATAAAACCATCTAAGATTTTTTTCAGTATTCAAGCTTGCGCGTTTTTTAGATTTCGTCGAACTTTCTTCAGATTTATCTGCATTTTCAATCTCCGATATCATCTTCGGTTCTACAACATTTCGTGAAATTACAATGTATTTCCAAAAGTCGTTATCCAACGAAGGTTTTCTAAGTTTTTTGTAGATCGGAGGTTTCTCTAGCTTATTCGAGAAATTCCATGGAATCTTTTCGAAGACGTCGTTTGTTTGACGATTCGAAGGACTTTGATTAAAACTTTCGCTCGAGTTAGTAGAGATTTTATTCGAATAAACGCGACTTGGCTCGCTGGTAGTTTTTGCATCAAAAATCTCCAAACTATTTACATTTTCAATTCTCTCTAAATTGAACTTTGTGACATAATCGTAATCACTTCTATCGCTCATTTTTTTAGAATCGCGTTCTTCCATACCATCAGATTTCATCGTGCTAATTTTAGTGGTGAAAACTGATCTCGTCGTTCCTTCTTCCTTCATATTTTTCACTATTGATTTTTGATTTGAATTAGAAACCGATATACCCGAAATGTCAGTAGCTGTGCAGAAATTAGAAATTGGATTAAATCGATTGTTATTGGCTGCTAAATACTACGTTAAATTCTATCGAATTGAAAAATTAATATTCTTACCGGTAAGAGTGTCATCTTTATTTTTATTTAATTCCTCTTTTTTTCTATAAATATTTTTACCACCTTGACCTTTTGTAAAATTATTCGGGATTTCAATTGCGATGGATTCGTTCGCTTTCGATATTTCTGTGTAATTTTTTTTCTCGGTATTTATATCTGAAAAACCGGTAATATTTACCATCTTCTTTTCCTCGTATCGTTCGGTTGTCGAGCGAAATACCATTCGATCATCGATAGATAAAAATTCGACGGTTGTCGAAGAATTATTACTACGTGTCGTATTAAAATTGTCATTTTTATTTTCTCTCGTTATATCCAGCCTCGTGGTTCGTTCGATTTTAATTGTGCCAATGGATTTTTTATTGTCAAAAAAAGTAAAATTTGCGGTAAAATTTTTATCCACTTCTCCTAAATCGATTATCGAGTTGTTGAATCTCTTCATTTCTTTCCTCGTATCAATGTTATTTACGCTTTCGAATTACAAAAGATGCGATTAGACTATCGAAATATACGGATTTGATAAAGTAAATAAAAAAAAAAAATAATAACAACAAATAAAAAAAAAAACTATCATTTTAAATTACGTTTTATTATTATTATTATTATTACCAACCTGCTCAAAATTCCAGATTGAATAATATCGAAACGTTCCTCTATTTGGAAATAAGCGATCACTAAGATTCTGAAAAGACGACCTAGTTTCTTCGAGAGAATTGAATCCTTTGGTTGCGCTCTCTGCAGAAGCAGTAATCTTGCCCAGTCCGATTTCAAAGCACCAAAGGGCAAAGCTGTGACGGGACATTTGAAACCGCCGATCATCATATCGATCGTCGGCACATTCTCAATATTCCGAGACAAATAATCCTCGAGCTCAACCACATCGAATTCCAAACAATTGTCTCGCAGTACATACGAACTTGTTTCTGCGAGGGAATGGCCTTTTTCAATTTTGCTTTACATCAACATTACTTATTATTTAAAGTACAAATGTTACTTATGTATTTACTTATGTATGTAAGTACGTATATATTAAAAAAAAAACATATATATATATATATAAATATATATACTTACTGGAAAAAGTAACAAGAAAGACGATTAACAAATAAAGAAGCAAACGTGAAGCTTCTTCTCGCAACATGATTGCTGAGCCAACTGAGGCCATTGAGGCCAGGTATAGTATTTTATTTCGTTATAATCGGCATATTTTCATAGGTAAATATTTCACGGCGAATTTTCGAAGAGGAGCTCGTTCAACATTCAAGATTTGAATAATAAAAATCGAGCTTAATTCCTATTTTATTTTCGATCGACTTATTACCTAATGCTCACGCACACATACGTATCCTTTCTTTTTTTATATAAAAATTATAATTACATGTATCTGTACACATATTCTGTACACATATTTAGAGAAGTCGCAGAAGCAACGTTTCTTCGCAGCAGGTACAATTTACGACTGGTCTGGTGAGTCCGGCGAACGAACGAGAAAAGAAGGACTTTTCGAAGAACCACTTTATATTGTACTTTCGAAGAAGAAACAAATCGTAAACAGTGCACGCTGTATGATATATGAAACATTTCAAATCCACGATCCATTTGTCATCTTTGTTGGCGCACGCACGTTTCGCTAGAAAAGCGGAAGCGTTTTTCAAATTGTGCAATCGTATATACCGTGCCAAAAAAAATACAGGATGTGGTTGAATTTATCGGTGTAAATTTTCACGATGCGAATAAACTATGTATATGTACAAATCTTCTTCCTACCTACAGGGAGAAAGATCATAAAGAAAAAGTGACGTTAGAATTATATTTCTTTCGCATATGCTGGATATACATCCAGTATGCAAAACAAATGCGTAAATTTCGAGTTACAGAAATACAAGAAACCACGATATTGTGTTTCTTGTTTTTTTATTATTATCATCATTGTTATCATCATTAATACTAATGTTAATATCCTTTATCATCATTATTATCATCATTATCATCCTCATTATTATTATTATTATTATTATTATTACTATCGTAATTATTATTATAATGTTTTGCTCCACAAATATACACGCGCGCTTATTTATTTATATTGTATCTAAATTTGTATCATTTGTTTATTTGTTGGTTGTTGGTTAAAACCCTGAGACTATGATTCTATCGCCACGGCGAATCGATGAACATGTTGTAAAGAAAAATGCTTGTAAAATCCAACATCCAACGTCTAAGTCTAATTCGTAAAAATATTTTCTAGCGGCTTCTTTCTCGATCGTGGCACGCATACCAAAGAATGAATTAAATCGTTGATTAAGATAAATTTGTTGGCGAAGGATTTATATCCAACGTGATATTTTTCGATCATCCTATTTGTGTTTATGTTATTAAAATCTTGAAAATTAAAAGATTAATGTATGTGCCAAGATATTTTTAGGCCTATTTGAAATTCATCCGAAACTTTCACTCAAAAACTTCACAAAGAAAATTACATCTTTGTTTTTGTCCCTTCCTTCCCCTCTCTCTCTCTCTCTCTCTCTCTCTCTGCAAAAACGGATAAAAAAAGATAGATCACAAATTGATAGCACGTGAAAATTTTACATTTTCTATTAAAATGTAAAAATATATATATATATATATATATATATATATATATATATGGAGTTGAGTTAAACAATCAAGACAGTTTCAAATACAGTTCCCAAAATATCCAACGGCTATAATAATTAAACAAAAAAATGTCGACAGATTTGACAGGAATAAATTTGAAATGTTTAAACTTATCAAGCCTAATCGTTTCTATAGTATACGATTGTAACATCTTCTATTATGGACGGTACAAATAGTATTATCGTGTGATAACTAAATATTGATATTGAACAAGTTTTTCTGAAAAAAAAAAAAAAAAAACTGATACTATCAACAGGTGACAAACGCCATCGAAATATTGATTATTGGTTCCCTGATAAATATATTCGCATAAACTAAAACAAACGTTTCGACAAATCATTTCTAACACATTTCAGAATAATATTCGATCAACATCATTTACTAATAAATTAACATTTGATTTTCTTCCAAAATTTACAACCTGAAAGGCAGTGTAGCAAATAACATGATTTCTTTTATTGCAATTCGTAGGTGGAAAAAAAAATGCAATAAAAAAAAAAAAAAAAAAAAAAAAAAGAAAAAGAAGAAAAAAAAGAAATCATATTATTGAAAAAAAAGAAAGAAAATGAAACAAAAAAGACCGAAAAGATATATGGAACAAAAATTCGCCGTGGCTTAACAGCGATTTTCTTCTTTCTTTTTCCTCATCGCATTCGTTGCATTATCTGTTTTTCATAATGAGGAATGAACCGTCGTGGGTATGTAATCGAGAAAAACTAATGGAGAAAGGACACGCAATACGTAAGCGTCTATCAACTATTTGCATCGTGTATTTAAATGCAGGAGGTTTTAAACAAGGATTCAAACGTTAGAAGAACGAAGACGAAATATACAAATAAAGGAAACTTAAAAGGACGATCGCGATCAATTGACCAAAAGAAAAATGTAATCGCATGTCCTGATATTATTGCACTCTGAACGTCACATGATTACATCGCATTTTTAAGATCGCAAGGTTTCGAGCGACTCGATCCGCCTTAACGCTTAACGAAATCTAAATCTATTTATTTATAACTTTGAATAAAACAATTTCTTTCTTTCATTGATATCGTTAATATCGAGTAATCATCGAAATAACAAAAAGCTGATTCAAAAATCGATAGAAACCTTGCCTTTTGTTGCGTGTAATCGACAAAAAAAAAAACTCCATTAATTTGTTATAAACGGTTTTCCCTCCTTTAAAAATGAACCTTTTATGTGAGTAGTAGCTCCTATACGATATTTTACGATTCTTCGCTTCGAAAAAAGCGATATTATGCGCAAGATCTATGCACAGATCTCGTAACAATAATAACTAGATAATAAAGATCCCTGAATACATATAATATAATATAATATAATAATATAATATATATTCTCCTACGCTCTTCGTGTGGCACGCGCGAATAACATTTCGCAATCATTTCAACAATCGATTAAATTTTTTTCTGCTCTTCCTAAGAACCTGGCAACCTGGCCAAAGGTTCGTTCTCGAAACATTTTTTTTTTTTTTTTTTTTTTTTTTTCACACAATATCTCGTAGAAAACAGCATGGCGCTAATTAGAGAACGATCCAGCCATTCTTTTGCTTTTCCTTGTTCACTGTTCACAGCTCTGTTCACGTAATTGGTTCGATTTGTACAATAGCACATATTAAATTCATTTGCTGAACTATATAACTATGGATGTTCAATGCAGTACACACATCGATTTACATTTATCGATCTTTACACTTTACATTTAATAGTATTAAAATGTGCAGTTATTCTATGTAAAATGATATTATCTTTTTCATCAACACTCTTAAAAATATAGAGTCTGCGTTCCTCTAGTTTCAAATTGACTGGATTTTTTTTTTTTTTTTAGAGAAAAGACATAACTAAAATAACATTCGAATCGGAGCTACGTATAATTTTGATTGAACTGGTAGTATTTGGTAACACGATGCTCTAACCCTATAACGTCAAACACCCACAGTTAGTACATTTGCATTTGATTTCTATGATCTCACCGGTTCGGTGTTACGATCTTACGTAAATGAAAACATTTTATTTATTTGGTAGGTTCTTCTGTCTGGCGACAGGTTTTTGTAAACTATCCTAAAATGAGAGCTCCAGAAAAAGCATCTCGCATCTTGTACTACGTATCCTATCTTGAAATAACATCGTATTTTTCTTTGTACCTGTAAATGGGGTACTCGAAAAGGAAAGTTTGGTTATTTCGACGAAACAATGTGCCTGCTATCTTAAGGTGTTTCGTGAGTTTCAACGACTGCTGGAATCACTGGCCAACGCTCCACGCTCCAACACTCTTGTGTTTGAAAAATAAAGCCTTTTCTTTTTTTTTTTATATATAAGTCTTTCTCTTACAGAAAAATGAATAAAACTGTACAGTCTCCGTTTCTTTTCGTATTTCACTATCACTCACTGTCTTCTGCTTATATCTTAGGAACACAACAAAATGCGTGCCTTTAAGTCATTCTTAATGTGCGAGTGTTACTTAATAACAGCGATTCTATGAAGTCCTCAATATAGATATTAATAAATCGAGTTCGAGTTGATATTTCATCGATAATAAGCAGCTTCTAACATTTCTACAAAGAGCTTATTCATTGGTACTTTTCCCGTTCGATACACACTAGACCAAAATCGTCTAACAATTCCATCAACCTGCCTGAGACTGGGTAACACTAGGAACATATTTTGAGTGGCACGAAGCGCTTGTCCTGGTCTTACTGCGGCCATACAGTCTGATAATGAATTTAAGATAGAATCTCGAAAGCGGTATAATGCCTGTGGCTCGTCTGATCTTGCGTCACTGTTTGCTAATATCAACGCCTTCAACACATAATATTCTTCTCTGGTTAATCCCAATCTTTGAAGCCTTTCTACTATTTGGATACACTGTTAAAAAAATAATACGTATATGCATATATATATATATATATATATATATAAAATTAAACAAAGTTAAATTAAAAAGTTAACAAGATATATGATGAATCAAATTATTCAAATGATCGAATGATACTCACATGCGTGTATAACTCTGTACAATGACATTCGCGGGCAAGTCGTTCGTCTAGAGTAAAATCTTGTGCAAACCTTAATCTACCATTATTTGGCATGCTTCTCCACGCGAGACTAAACGTCAATATCTCAGCCCACGTACTTTGCAGAAGCCGCATTTGATCGTTTAAAGCTAAACTGCTGAATCCTGGAATCTGTTTTGCCCAACCTTTAAACGAATAATTTTTAAATAATAAATTAATTAATCATTTTTATAATATAACTTTCTATTAGCACAAAAATTGCGTAATACATTACCAATTATTCCGACTAATTCCCGATCATATAAATCAGATAATTGTCCAAGTACTCTTTGATCTGTATCAAGAGTATGAGAGATATTTGATACTTGCAGCATGTCGGGTTCACAGGCAGCCAAAGCTTCCAGCATTTTATTATCTATCAATAAATTAAAAAATTTACCATCTTTGAACATCTATACGGTGAACATCTACATTAGATGTATGATGATTTCGTGTCAAGATGAAAAAATTTAGCAATGAATCAACGTATCCGACTCGAATAAAATAAAATGGAAGGAGGACCCGATAGCTTACTTATTATTTCGTTAGAAGCTCCTGTTGCTATGTTCGCTAGAAAGAATAAAATATCAAATATTTAATCGTATCTATCAAGATACGGAACTATGCGTTTTATAATGATACGATCGTGATCGAAACGTGAATATTTATACTAACAAGGATTATTAAAGAAATCACCTTCCAAGGGAGCTGGTTTCACTGGCGTATAGGGATCGGTGGATCTTCTATATTTTTGTCTCCCCCCTCGAACACGATCCAATCGGACTCCCTCTTTTAACATGCCTTGTCTAAGACATTTTTGAAACCTACATGCCTGACAAGCTTTTCTCCTGCGTTTATTTATTTCACATTCCCCATTTGCGGGACATGTATACTCAATATTACCTGTAAAATTACTCGCTATTTTATTGTAATATACATGGTTCTCGTCCAGGTAGCACCAATATTATCATGAATATATATATATATATACTAATAATAAGTGAACAATTAAAATGTTCTCACATTAAAAAATAACAAAGAAGCAAAAAAAATTTATATTAATAATATTAATATAAATTATTAACGGTGCTACCTGGAAAATTCTTCGAAAAAAAATATTTGTAAATACGAAGGAACTTTTCTTACCTTGTATGGTTCTTTTGAAAAAAGCTTTACACGCTTCGCAAGATGCAACTCCATAATGAAACCCACTTGCAACGTCGCCGCAGACTAGGCAAAGCCTTCTAGGTATCATATCTTCCTCTTTGACACCTTCCTAAATAAAAAGATTCATTGAATCTTATTTAAAAAAAATGAAAAATAACTTTTGAAAATTCTAGTATACCTCAGGTGTTCCTAAAGGCTGTGTAGTTGACGAACAATGGTGCATTTCTGGACTTCCAGGGCTACCTTCGCCTCCACCATAATCAGGCGGAACTTCTATTTTACTACAAATCACCTGAAATATAACAAAAAAAAAAAAAATTACTTGATATCATTCTCATAGTAAAAATATATATTTGTTTCAAGTTATTTTACATTTTCGACAACTTTCACGAATCACAATGTTTTTGACCGTAAAAAGTACATGTCCAAAATACCTCTTGATGCTGAAGTGTAGTGGTCGGTGAACAAACTTGATAATTTTGCGTAGGTGTTGTAGGATTTTCAATTTCTTGTTTAATGTTCGCCATAGTCCTATTATTTCCAATCATATTTTCGGTGCCGCCACCGGGCATCATACAAACCTAAAACAATCGACAAAATATCTTGTAATTTTTCACATATGCTGTTCTAGTTATTTTCTATAACGCCATCATAATTTGATGTTATTCGTTTTTAAACAAATTGCGGCAAATATCGAAAAGCAGAAGAGACAGTCTTCTTTGCAGTCAGCTGCACTTTTTTTCTGCTGCTATTTTTAAGCACGACCAACGCCTCAAGCATTTTTAGAATTGACTTCAGAAAATTCGCGATACATAGCATCGATGTTCTTCGAATATTAGTTCCAAATTTTTTCGTTAATTCTATATAATTATGCAGCTATCTCTTACTTCTCACTATTCAATTTTTTTTTTCTTATCCATTTCATACATTCTTTGATTTTCTTGCAACAATATCGTGAACGAAAATATATAATTCAACAATCGGCAATTTATGAAAAAAAGTAAAAGTAGTCATACGAACAAGTTACTGAAAAGGAAGGTATCCTTAAAAGAACGTTGAGCAGAGCGATAGTGAATAAAGTAACGGTGAAAGGATTGCGTAAGCCTATTCCTCTGTCGCCCTCCTGCCCTCGGTATCGTATATTAAATGCACGCAGAAAGGGGATCGAGGGGAAGAAGAAGGAGTGCAGAGTATCTGGTTAGCCTTGAACTTGGCTTTTCTGCGAGATGCAGTTACGATCGTTCGCAAGAACTTAGGACGCGTATCTGGAGATTTATGCTCTATCCAGGCACGATCTGTCTCTCAGAGACGTATCCTTATCATTGCAACGTAACCATTTTTTTTTTTTATAACGATATCTTTGCTCAATTTTTAATCTTCGTAAATTGTCGTACATCCATTCGTCTGAACGGAATAATGAAGAAAGTCGCTCGAATGCGAATTCTAGATTTTATTAGAATTTCGATCGCACGCGTTCTAGTCAAAAATTCTTTCCGATCGTGCTCCATTTTAACCAGCCGTTTATTTCAATAGTAGAAATCGATAAACATCGAGAATTGTGAAATGTATGGCGATCGAGGGCAGACGGAAAAAAAGAGGAAAAACGATATCAAGGAATTAAAAAAGGAAAGAAAAGACAAGGCACCGAAGCAGCTGGTTAACCTCGAACTTGACTAGTCGTGCGAAGTGCTTCACGTGTACGTCTCCCACGTTTAGATTAATGAAATAAAAACCGACACGGTGCGCGGAACACTCGGCCACGATACATAATGACGACCATGACGAAATGATAACGATACAATTCCCCTCAAATCCCGAGCTCAAATTCGTCAGAAATGATGATATCCAAACAATAGGAAAAAGGATAAAATAGATATGATCGAATAAAAGAAAGTTTAAAAAGACAGAGAAAAAAAGAGATTGCGTAAGCGTAAGCATCTATTCGACTCGACTCGTTTCCATTGCTCCCGAGTCGTCCAATATTTTTAATTTTCTCACTTTCTCCGCATCCCTCCACAACCCGTTCAATTTACCAAAATGCAAACGGAAGGAAGAAATGGAATGGAAAAAGAAAGAAATAAGCGTATCGCGATATCTGGTTAGCCTTGAACTTGACTTTTCTGTGAGAGAAGCGGCCACGTTCGCGAAGGCCGCAGAACCGCGCCAACGCACAATTTTAGCCGCCGAACTCCGACGGAAACAGCCGACTCCGGCGACCTTGAATCCCTCTGTCTGATTCTCCTCTCTCTCTTCCTCTTTCTATCTCTCACTGTTTTTACTTGTACCAATAGTATACTAGCACTCTCTTTCTCACCTCTCCCTTCTCCCTCTAGCTCTCTTTATCTCGCTCTGTTTCAGTTTCCTCGTGTTCAGATGCACCTCGTGTACGTCGATCCACTCATCTCATTCCCTTCTACGTTAGCTTCTACATCTGACAAGACTGGACTTGTGGATCATTAAGAAAAAAATCCGAATCAAATCGAACTGGAGAAAACTTTGAAAACTTTTCTTCGAAACAATACAATGTATTACGCGATGTCTTTAGTGATCATTCTACTTGATAAAATCAATGCTTTTCTTCATTGAATACTTAAGACCCGCATACCTTGAAACTTATACGAAATCGTTGACTATATTACTTCATTTTGCGAAAGCGATCTTTGCGTATGTAACACGACAAAGAATCAAGGTCATTAGTTATTCTATTTGACAGAGAATTTCGTACTATTTCACATATATACATATATATGTGTATGTGTATATATATATATATATATATATATATATATATGCGACCCCAAAAAAAGAGAAGAGGAAAAGAAAATGAAGCTTTTAATCGAGCGTCCATTTTTAGAGGAAGCCATGACCTGAATATCGATTGCACTCTGGCTAGTCGTAATTTTATTTCTATCGCAATAACGCGGTTTAATTACGATCAAAGATGTCTTCTTAACAATTGCTATTCATTATTCGACGATGATTGACAACGATGGTTGATACGAAATATATCTTTTGCTCCCTATCGTACTAATTTTTAAATTTTAACAAAATAAATAAACAGAAATATAATTCCAATATAATGAAAGTTTCACATTAGCAAATAACAACACTATAGTGTCCGATTCAAAGTCGAAATTATATATTTGTATATAAAAGGTATAAAAATTTTTGAGATATGCACGGGACGAATCTTTCAAATCCATCAGTCGAAATTTTTTTATACGAATTAATTATGTAAATGAGAAAGATGTTTAAATGATAGAAATAAAGAAAAAGAAATCATCGCTTATTATATATATTTATTATATAATTATTTTATTTTGAGACATTTCTTCTCGATCACAAATTTTCATTAAAAATTAGAATATCGATTTGTGTTAACAATGAAAAAATGTCATTGCTCGATATACACAAATCGAAAAACATTTCGTCGTTTGTCTATGCAAATATACGAATCAATTCGAATTTTTAAAAACTAAAAAGCACATACCGTTGAACACCGTCGAACTTGACGAAACGCTATAAATATTAATCGAAACAAATGGATTATTAAAATTCAAATGAGTTTTACGTTTACGTTATACTATTTTTTCACGTAATATCTTGCACGAAAATGAAACCATTGCATTTAATCTCAAAGTGTTCCGATTCGAATAAATAGTTAATAAATGAATCAATAATGAAAGAAGAATCTTTACCGATTAGCTAAATCACATTTAATTTTTTGAGAAATAATATGTAAGTAATCTCATCCAACGGAAATGTTCCTGGATTGTGCAATCTTCTTTTCGATAACTCGAGACTCTGGCACGAGATCGAAGACGATGAAAAGGAATCGGACACCATCTTATTTTCTCGAGTTACGACGAATGTTTATTTCCTTCGGATAAATTTCCGATAAAAGAAAAGCATTACGATGTGCACAGTATGTCTGCGATTTCGCAACAAGTCGATTGCGATGACCCTGAATTATTACAATGCTCACGGAGTAGCAATATTACAGCTATATACAGGTGGATACAGAATTAGAAGTTGAGAGAACGAATCGATATCCCGAGGATGAAGACCCTGGGTCGCGGTCAAGGCCAGAGCTTCGGTAACAATTATGTTCCGATTTTGCAGTAAGTTTACCCAATGAAAAAAAAATAATATCATAACGAGTCAGCATAACAACATCGAGACTATCGTTATAATCTAATTTTAGAACGGCGCGACGCTCTTTCACTTTTTAAATCTTTTTACCTTCATCAACAATTCAACGCAAACCGCATTTTTTCCATTTTTACTTTTATTTTTCAACATTGATTTCTCCCTGAAATAAAGACTTGTAAACTTGTTCATACTTCCAATCTTTTTCTCTATCCTTTTTAGTATATATTATTAAAATCGTATATTTCGATGAACTTTACAATTCGCATTATTTCGTAAAGAATCTAAACGCATTAATCATTCACCAATTATCGCCCAATGTACTGCATAATCAATTTGGATTTCAACAGACAAGAGAAGGAAAAAAAATAATAACGGAAATCACGTTGTACGAACGTGTGCTTTTTTCAAGATAAAAATCACACATAAGAGAATTTATTTCGCGTATTGTCCAAGGTTATGGCTGGCCCAGCTTTGAGATGACGTCACCGACGTGTCTCGTAGCCTGAAAACTTCAATGCTCCCCACCCGAACCAAGTTCGGAAAGCCGATGATTATCCAAGCATGTTCCTTACCAAACCAGACAACGCATCATTGGCACAACCTGCACGACCAATCATCGAACACGCCTATCGACGAATACTCCATCGTTTCGTCATTCGATAAGAAAACGATTTTTGCGAATATTTGTTATTCTACTATCAGATCGCCTCTAACAATGTCTTTTTCTTCATCTCGATATACCATCGAGCCATCCTTCCATCGATTCGTGTAATTTTAATGCTCATTAATGTAGATGAAGTTATTTTGCGGAAATATACGTACAAATATACCTACTTGTGTATTCAATGAATTTTATAACTAAAATATATATTCTATCACAAAAATCTATCATCAAAATGCAAATTTTTTGTCAAATCAATACAATACTTTACTTATCTATAAAATATACACGAAATGTCGATAAACGCACAAACATATGCAGATATCGCACGTTTTCATGTACAATGTATGATAAGCAAGATGCAAAGAGAGAGAGAGAGAATTAAAGTAAAACAAATGTCATCTTTATAGCAAATCTGTCTCATATACTATGTGTAAACATATAATCATTTTATAAAATTATTTGATCACAGAACTTCTTAAACTTTTTTTTTTCTTTAAAATATATATTTTATATAGAAAATTGTGATATAAAAAATTTATTTTGACATGCAAATAAAAAACTCGGGAAAAAAATGCATTCGCTGAAAAAACAAACGCATCCTTGTCATTTTAGAGATCCATAAAAATCCAGAAATCATATTTGGATCATCATCGATTTCAAAATGTTTTGAAAATTTCTCTAACACTAAGTAAGAGTAAGCAAATCCGAAAATATCGACTGATGCATTCTTATGACGAACATTTTTTTTTTTTAATTTTTTTATTAACTTTACAATAATTTTCTACTAAACTTCTTAAGTAGGAATCCATAATTTTATTTCCATTGAAATAGCCTATCTCAATCCATCGATTCGCTATATGCGTCACATGTGATCGAATCTGAAATTTCGTGGGAGATTTTCTTTCGCAAACAGTACGAATGATCAGCTAATATTTATTTTCAAAATAAATATTAATAAGAATATTAATAAGAATAAAAAAGAAATTGTTTTAACAAAATCAGCATTGAATAAATTCAAAATAGTATTAGTACAAATGTATTTTAATTCATCCATTATAAAAAATACTAAATATTAATAAATAATAAAATTAAAAACGAAATAAATAATTCCATATTTTCTTATGTTTTATTCATACAGAATTGTATAAAATTTATATGATGATGTATTATATGATCATTTTAATATATTCAAACTATTAAACATCACATATATATACATATATATATATATATATATATATGTATATATATATATAAAATCATAAAAATACGCCATTATAAAATTATCATAGCTTTTATATATAAAAATAATACAGGAGGAAAAAAAAGATAATTTTATATAAATGATACATTCTTTTTGGAAAACTTTATACATGAAATATTTGTTTTTAATAAAAATTCTAAAAAAAATATGTATTATTGATAAATACACTCATATTTAATGATTAATAAAATGTATCATTTTTGAATGAACATAAATTTCCTTCATTTTAATTAAAATTAACTTTGAAAAATTTGGAAAATTTCCATAGAAAATATCTATGATTTAAAATTTCTGAATAGATTGATGTAAAATTATTACATTCTTCTTATCGTCAAAAATCATTTTATGTATATCGGAGCATACAAAAATTAATTATCGCAAAACAATTAAAATGATTTCAAAATAAATAACTGTTTTTAACAAAATAATTATTTACGTATACTTTCAAATATTTCATACGATAATCAAACAACATTATCTATATTTTTTTACAAAATATTATCTATATTACCTATATTTTTTTCCAAAAGAAGATATTAATTTTATAATTAATTATATTTTCTTCAAATTTTATCGATCATTATCAATAAAATATATCTTTTAACAAAATTGCAAATAAAAAACAAAAATTAAAAGAAATTTTTAGGAATAAACAAGGAAAAAAACGTAGATGAAAAAGTATTGATAAAAGTTTCTAACTTAAGGTCGTTCGATTTAGTTGTTTCACAGTCATCAAAATAAACAACTTTTTCATGACAATGTTTCTATGTACATATATATACAAATGATGTAAAATATTTTAACTTATATTCAATATAGAATTTTAAATTTATTATCTATTTAGTATCTTAAATTTATCATATTTATTCAAATATTTACATACGTTACGTTTATGTATACGTTAAACGTAAAATTTAATTCAAATCAATCGATCAACTTATCAATTAGCAAAAAGATTACAAAATCGAAGAATATAATCATGAATCAACGGTAACGTTAAAAACCGACAGACGTGGAAAAATGATCAGTAAGTTACAGGATAGATTACCTAACAGACACGTCGTAACGTAATAACCGAGTCTGTTGTCGCTAAAGCTGACTGACGGTATGTACGCGACAAAGATAATACATATGTATTCTTATTGCATTGAAAAACAAGCAAGTTCGAACAACATAGATGTAATTAACATGATCTATGTAAGAAAAATCATTGAATTTGTTGCATATTAATAAAGAAAAAAAAATACAAATTTTTTAAGATTACCAAGCTAATTTTTTCACGAACTCCAGATTTGATCATATTATAATGATCAACACATGATCTGTTATAAAACAAATTTTTTTATTTGATTATTCTTCGAAACGAACGTTAAATATTTTCATTTCGAAATAATCAAAACTTTACTCGATATTCGATCAACGGATTAACGGAAAATAGCAAAGAACGCGCGCGCAGCAACGTAAACAAAGCCACGAGATGGAAAAGAAGAAAGAGGTTATGTATCGACAACACCTACCACATCGTACATCCATGAATCCATGATCGTCTCTTTTGTCCAAATGATATAAGAACACTGTATTCTTATTTTCCTGCTATACTTTTCCTAGATGAAAAGCGAAAAAGACCACAATGTCAATAATTGGAACACTCATGAAGACTACGAATAAAGCACACACATGAGTATGTATACACTATCCCCCTACCACGACGTTGACGGCGCGACGAGCCGTACGCGACTGACGGCAATTCTGAGGATACGGTAATACACGGAGATGGCCGATCCTAATACCAGGCGCCGCAAATCCGCAAAATATATATTTCTTATGCTAATTACCTTATCGCTTAAGAAATAACCGAATTTTCAGACAAAATATGTCAAATATCTTATCTAATTGATCAACAGATATTCAATTTTTTATGATTATAATTTATATGATCTATTCTTTATCTTATACAAAACAATTTCTCATGAATAGATAAAATTTCAACATTTATATAATGATTTATTATTATTACATATATATTGTTAATAAAATTATTATTTTAAATATTTATAATATTATATATTTATTGTTATATTGAATATAAATGTTGTTAATAAATTTCTCTGACTTACTATTATAAAAAAATTCTAAAAATAATTTCTATTCCAATTAAATATAAACAAATAATAAGATTAAAAACATATATTATATTTTATATAATATTAATATTAATATTATAAACATATATTATATATATGTATAGAATATAAATAAATTTTCCAGAAACATTAATATCTTCAAGATTATTATATCTTACAACATTATATCTTACAACAGAGTATTTGCATTTGCAAAGAATTAGATCAGGCTGTATTTATCGATAATAAAATCATCAACTTCAATTTAAAGCACAACAGTTGTATAAATATAAACGAAATTGATAAAATTACCGTGAACATTATCATGGTCATGACCAATCGGTCATTAACTCTTGGCCGTGAAGCTATTTTGAAGCAGGTCTTTCTATAAACTGAACCTCTTTTTACTTCAGTATTCTAAACACGATGAAGAAACAGGAAAAGATGTTAATTGAATAAATGATTCTACGAAGTAGAAGAAAATAAATTTTATGATATAAATGTTTTTTTACACAGAATAAATATGATAAAAATATGTGAACGAAGAAATAACGTATAAAATAGCTTTGCGTCCATATACCAGCCAATTGAATTTTCAGACTAGCAGGTAGATCGATCGAGCTCCAAAACTCTCCCTTTACCCCCATAGTTGAAGCAGGACCTATACAGGACCTAAGTTGATACGTTACTGGCGTAATGCGTGCAACATATATATCGCGATGGAAGGGTGAGAATAAGAGAGAAGAGAGAGGTGGAAGTGGGAGGTAGGAGGCGGGGGCGGTGGCTGTAGCTATACTGAAAGCACTGGCGGCGGCTGAGACAGTGGTGATGATGGTAGCGATGGTGTCGCAGCAGCAACAGTGGCACTGGAGGCGACCGCTGCTCTACCGACGAGGAGGGAAAGAAAAGTAACCGATGGTGGCCTTGAACTTGACTGTCGCCGTTTTTGCGTACAGCCTGCCCAAAACAGCCCACCAGCGTAGACACTTCAATTTTCATCTACCGTTAGTTATCTTTCTAAAATTCTGGCTTCTTACCAAAAGATTTTTATTCTTTAATTCAATTTTTATTTTATGATTTCCTTATGTTTTAAACGTGTGTGCGCGCGCGCGCGCGTGTGTGTGTGTGTGTGTGTGTGTAATATATATATATACATTATTTGTATAATGTATAAAATGATGTTTTTAAATCATTAAAGTATTTTATATTTTTGCTGAAATAAAATCTTTTGATACTTTAATGCGAATTATTCCTTATAATTCTTATACACAATAAAGAAAAAGAAAATTAAATGAATAACATGAATAAATATAATCGCTCATATGTATATTATTATGATAAATCTATTTTTATCAATTGTTTCTCAAAGGATTATAATAAAAATTATTATACAAATATATATTTTTATTTCTTTCTGATCTTATTGCATTGGTCATTAAAAATTTTTATCAATTACATTAAAATTTCAACTAGTTTTTTATAGTTTTTTAATATGTAAAAAATTAAAAAATAAATAAAATTGAAATATTGAAGATTATCGAAAATAACACGAATTTAAAAAATAATATTTCCATATTTCATTTCAAAGATCAATTAAGATCAATTTTTATATGTAAAAAATTAAAAAATAAATAAAATTGAAATATTAAAGATTATCGAAAATAACACGAATTTAAAAAATAATATTTCCATATTTCATTTCAAAGATCAATTAAGAAATAAAAATAAAAAACTTATACCAATGAAAGTAATAAGTAAAAATAAAATTTGAGTTGAAGTAATTAGACTTTAAATCAACTGGATCGATGACACTCTCACTTTCTTATATTTGTGATACTGTATCGTGTTCATATCTAATAGATACATTACATATTCTATGCGAATACATATTCTATATGCGAATTCCTCAAAATAATCATAATTTATATTAATATTTTCATAAATATAAATTATATAAATATAAATTTATATAATTATAAAATTTATAAAATTATATCAAAAAATATTAAATATATTTGCAACATCATTTTTAAATTCATAGTATCTTCAATACTATGAATAATAAACATAAATTCTGAAACTATTCAAAAATTACATATTGAAAAATATATTAATATCTTTTAATCAACTTTTTTGAAAATGATTTTATGAAAAATGTAATAAAACTTAAACTTTTTGAAACATGTACTTTTTTTTATATATTCAATAAAACGCTATATTAAAGATATTTATAGAAATAATTCTTTTATTTTTTGCCATATATAATTTATCAATATATTGAAATAATAATACAAATATTGTAATAATATATAATTTTAAATATTCATAAATAAAATATATCTACAATAACAACAACAACAATAACAATAATAACAACAACAACAACAACAATAATAATAATGCGCAAATTTTATGAAATATCTTGAAGATAAAAGAAAAAATAAACAGTCGGTAATAAAGAAATTTCTAATTTCATCCGTCGATATCATTTTATCAACTATTTAAATCAATATCTTGCAATTTTATTCATATAACTTATATTTAAAAAATTAAATACACATTGCATATATAACGCAATAAAATAATTAACAATATTAACTATAAGATTAAAAATCATCAATAAAATTATCAGTAAATTGATATAAATATTTTTAAAAATATACAAATTCTATACAATATAAAAGATACAGTAGAATTAGGAAATAATATAAAATGATGATATATTTTAAATTCATACATATTATTCTTTAAAAAAAAAATTAAAATTTATTCATTCTTATAACATACCAACACTCAATAAAAAATACATATTCTCTTTGTTCAAAATATATATAATTTACTTTTGTAAAGGCATATAAAACATGTAAATATTTACTCAATAATTGAATTTTATATCTTAACAAGAAATAGATCATATCTATTCACTATTGTTTTAAAGATAATAAAAAACATAGTTAAGCAAAGCATCATATTCTTATATATATATATATATATATATATTTCTCATCACATGTCTAATTTCATAACTCGTTTTTTTGGACTAAAAAACCAAGGCCATAACAGTAATAGTGGAATTCGCGCAGTTAATTTAAAAATTCAAAAATAAATATTAAGAAAAACTTATTGAATTCTAATTTTTAATATATATAAAATTAATGATTTAAATGTAAATTTAAAATGCAAAATAAAATAATTATAAAAAATATAACACACATAGTAAAATGTAAACGAATTTGTAACAAAGATGGCGGACCAAAATTTGGCAGATCGTTGATATTCAATTATCTTTACTGTTTTTCCAGAAATATATCACAAAAGGAATGACAAATGTAACAGGTAATTGAATAACTTACCTCGGTACTCATATACACTTTTGTATTTCCATCAGAGATTAAAAATTTTCAATCACAAGAAAAATATTGGAGCAATGGCCGATTCTACAACTCACTAGAAGCAGAAAACTCGATGGCTCCGATTGTTGTTCATGTGGCGCCATCATACGTTTACAATACAGACAAGAATTATAATCCTAAATACGATAAGTGCTAACCTCTAACGGAAAAATGAAAAAGTACTAATTTTAATAATCAATTTTTTTTATTTATTCACTTAAAAAAATTATATGGAATACATGTATTATGTATGCAAAATTATGATAAGAAAAAATACAAATTATATAAAAATTCTTTTCATTATTCTATAACCTCGTATTTCAAATAATAAATATATAAACTTACATTTTTTTATCTTTTTATCATTTATTTTGCAAAAAAAAACAAAAACGCTTATATTTAGACTTTTGCAATTTCACAAGATATATTGTTTGGATCCCATTTCGTATTATTCACTGATCGTATGTATAATTTAGCATAGATATATTTTCGCAATCGCTCTGGATTTAAAACGAGAGATTCATTTAATAATTTGCAATAATATTTCACATCGGAAGGTAAAATCAATATGTGTGGTTGCCGCTCAAAACAAGCGTATTTTGTCCAAAGTGTTGTATCAAGATTTAAGCCAGAAAGAGGAGGATACAAAGGATAGAATGTAGTTTGAGACAATATATGATCAGCTAATCGACCGAGCCTATCCATTCCAGGTGTATTCCTAAAAGAATACTTTCTGTTATAATAAAATTCATATCTTACTAAATAGTTCTGCTATACTTACGATACTTCTTGTTGTCCAAGATGTCTAAGAATATCAACTGATGTTATTCCTATGTGCAAATTATCTATATTTATTATGCAAGGATCTGGCATGGAATAAAGATTCGCCGCATTTGATCCAATTTTATTTGTATTTATAATAAATTCTGGCGTCGGAAAAATTGAATCATGATGCGCATCGCGATTAGAAGATACTAATACAATACGTGTTGATTTCCTACATTATAAAAAATTGTTAATAATAATTTATTAAATATTAATAAAATGTTATTAATCGATAATAACCCTTGCAAATATTGTAGAATCTTCATCAAAATTGCATCAAAAAAATCTTGATAAGTCTCTTTCAAGGTACACTTTTTAATTTCAGGATGTGTATATTCTATGAAAGGTCCAATTAATATTAATATATTTGGTTCTTCTTCTACAACGCGACTCATAAGATCCCATAATGGTTGATAATTTAAATTGTCAGA